AATCCTTTAAGCATTCCTTGTAGAACCAGTCTAGTAGTGATACATTGTCAGTTTTGTTTGTCTTGGAAAGTTTTTAATTCTTACTTCTGAAGGATAGCTTTACTGGGAATAGCATTGTTTGCCATTTTTTTTTTTTCCTTTCAAGACTTTGAATGTATCATCACAGTCATTCCTGGCCTATGTTTCTGTTGAAAAGTCTACTCTTAATGGTTATTCCTTTATAGAAAACTTGATGATTTTTCTCATGCACTGTTTAGAATTCTCTCTTTTGTCTTTTACTTTTGAACAATTTGACTGTATTATGCCTTGGGAACAGATTTTCTTTTTTTAATCTACTGGAGGTCCTTTGAGTTTCCTGGGCCTAAATGTCCATATCTCTCCCAAGAGTTCAAACATTTTCAGCAATTATTATGTTAAGTAGATTTTCTGTGCCTTTTTTCCAATTTTCTACTTTTGGAACACTGCTAATGTAACCATAAATCTTTCTTTGTTCTTTTTTTTCTTTTGTTTCCTTTACTTTCAACTTGTTATTTCACAAGATCTGTCTTTAACCTCAGAAATTAAGTATGACATGATATTAATATATTGAATATATTTCTTAACATAAAATTAAATTTAATTAAGATATAATTTGAAATTTAAATTTAGGACTTCCATGTCTAAGTCTGCATGTTACAAGCTGTTCTCAGTACAAAGGCAAACACAGGCTGGGATGATAGCTCAGCGGCACAGTGTCTGCCTGGTAAGCACGAGGCCCTGAGTTCAATTCCTGGTACCAAAACAAAAACAAAACTAAACAAAACAAAAAAAGCAAACACACATGTTCATATGGTTGAGACTGTCACATAAATATATGACCTCCATATTTAAGCCATGTTTGTTGCTTCGGGTCAGATGCTGTTGTGAAGTGAATTGTGTCTTCACAAATGTTTTGTTGAAGTCTTTTTATACTTTTGAGTGTGAATTTAATTGTAATTAGGGTTTTACAGATATGATAGGAAGGCCATTAGAGCAGCCCTTAATCGAATCACAAATTCTTTCTTATGCTTGATCCTTTCTGCTGTTGAGACTTTGAACTATACATTTTAAATTTCTTTGGGGCTAGGGATTTAGCTTGGCAGCACAGCACCTGCCTGGCAAGCACAAGGTCGTGAGTTCTATTCCCGGTACCGGAGAAAAGCAAAAACAAAAACAAAAATTTCATTTACGTAGTTCTTAGACTCATTATTTCTAATTGTTTTGAAAGATCCCTGTCTTTTTGCTGAATTTCTTATTATTATGGGCTGTCTTCCTAATTTTATTGACTTGTCTGTCTGTGTTCTCTTGTATCTCATTATGTTTCCTTACAGTTCTTCTTTTCAGTTTTGTATTTGGCAATTTGTTGATTTCCTTTTCTTTGTGATGCATTGCTAGAGGGTTGCTTTATGCCTTTGGAGACTTTATAAGACCTTGTTAATCATGCTTCTTATGTGCCAGTACTGGTATTTCTGCATTTGGTGGGTCTGAGGCCTCTTCCAATTTTGTAGGGTAGCTTTCATAATAAAACATTTCTTGTTGGCAGTGTGTCCTGTGGTGTTGGTTGGATATGTGGCTTTGGTTTTTATTCCTGGTAGTTAAGTTAGTGTAATGAATGTGTAGCTCTTTCAGCTATAATCAGCATTGGTGTAGGGGTCTCAGTGGCCTGAACTGCAGGGATTGTGGGGTTGCATTGGCAGCTGGGCTGCATGGCAGGTTTGCTGACTCCTCTCAGGGTCGTGTACCTGGGTGTGGGTATGAAGTGCTCATTGGCTTCCATTGTCATTTAAGGGTAGGACCACCCCAGTGAGCTCAGATGAGTGCTGCATAGTTCTGTAATAGTCGACTGATTTATGTGTCAGTGTCTTTGGCCTACATGATAACCAGGCTGCACAAGTGAGCTCAGGCAGTGCCTGCCAGTGACTGATGGAAGCATGGGCCTGCAGAAGCTGACTTAAATTTATTCTTTCTGCCACTTCCAGGGGCCTGTGTAGTGAGATGGGTGGTGCTAACGTGTATTATTTCTCAAGGCCAGAGCTGAGACTGGGCTGCTCTCCTGCTTCATGGGGCCACAGGAAGATATGCAGAGGTGCTTGCTTACTTCCCTGGACCTCAGTGGGCTGAGTCACTCAGACAGGCCTGCCTGCCTATGATTTTTTGAATTTCTGGGAAGTCATTTTCACCATATAGATTCTGTACCTGGTTTGTTATATTTAAGACTAAACTTTTTTTAAAAAATTCATTTATTTTATTTCTAGTATGCCCCATTTTTTAGTGTAAACCCTTGTGTATCTGGCATCATCTTTATTATAATTAATTTATATTAATTATATTAATTATAATTAAATTATCAAAAATTTCCTTTAACATTTCTTGAATTACTGTTCAGCTTACAATGAAATCTTTTAGTTAGTTTTTTTCTTTTTTAGTCCTATATTTTGAATGATACTTCATCTGCTTATAAGTCTCAATTGACAGATTTTTTTGAGGGTTTAAATTTGTTTTGGAACAATAAAAATGTAACCCTATTTTCTTTTGTTTTCTGTTTTTCATTGTTTTCTTAATTAGAAGTCTACTATAATTTTAAGAAACCTTTCTATATTCTCATTTTAGTGTGTATATCTGTCTCTTTGTCAGGGTACATTAAATTTTTTCCTTGCTTTTGCTTTTTACCAGTTTGAAAATTCTGTGCTGTTACTATTTTTCATTATCCTTCTGACATGTTCCTACGTCTATTGCTTTATAGCTATCATTGGTTGTGTGCAGAATTCTTAGTAATTATTGTTCAAACATACTTTATGTCTTTTCTGGGTTTACAGTTGCATGTGTGCTGGAACTTCGATATTTGTCCCACAACTATTGAATGTATTGTTCTGTTTTTTCCCCCTAATCTCACTTCTCCTTATGTTTCAGTTCTGGTAATTCCTTTTGAGTTGTCAAGAAGTGCCCTGATCCTTCCTTCAGTTTTGTTGAATCTTTTGTTGAGCTCATAGAAGATACTATTCATCTCTTTTAATAAGATTCGTATTTCTTACATTTCTTACATTTGTGGAGATTTCCCATTATGTCTTGCATGATGGCTGTCTTTTCTATAATTACAACTTTCAATTCTCTCTTTGGTGATTCTAAAGCCTGTATCATATGTAAATTTAGTCTTATTGAATTGTGTTTTTATTTGGTTTTTTGTTTGGTTGTTTTATTACTTTAAGATGTCTTTTGTTGAAAGCATATCACCTGAGTACTACAATGACCATACATTTATGTTTATAAATGGACTTGACTTTCTTTTTGTTAAATCTTTAGCTTGACATAAATTTGAGATATTTGAAAGAAACATTAAATTTCTTATATGGCAGAGAATGTATCTTAAGCCCTAACCTTTTGTCTTGCCTGGACCATTTGGCCACATGTTGATAAAATTTTCATTTTCACTCTTCATTGATGGTATTACAAGCTGGGTTAGTGGGCATCTCAAATTTCAGCTTATTCGGGGATTGTCCGGGGCTAAGCTTGGGCAGTTTTCTCCTGATCCTACTCATCCAGCTTCTCTGTATTATGGCATTCTTCTTTGCCAGTTGGAGCTTCCCTGTAGCTCCATATACCCTAAGTTCTTCGTTTTTTAAATCTGTCATGTTCTTGCTGTTTTTATTTTCAGTGTGGATAGAATACAGTCATTTTTTTTCCTGTTAACTTTAATGAACACTCTGTCTTATTCCTCTAGACAGAACTTTTATATGTAGTCTGGCCTCCACAAAATTTAAGTCTTAAAATTCAGGTCTCTGGCTGTTTCTAAACTTCCTAGAATTTCCATTATAATTTTAGTAACATTATTTTTCTCTCTATGTTTAAAAAAGCCTGTTGATTAATTAATAGATGAGTGCCACCTTTCTGCTTGTGCCCCATTTCTCTATAAAGTTTTGAATTAGTAGCTCCTAAATGTCTCCTCTCCATTTAGTGATTTCTGTGAATACTGATGTTTCTTACAATTTTTCACTGCAGAAGTAATTAAACACTACAGGATGAAACTCTAATTATTTTAATTCTTATAACTATTCTGTTAAAAGCTATTATGGACAACACAAGAACTAGCACGTGAATGTTTATTGAAGCTTTACTCATAATTGGAAAAAATTGGCAGTAGCCCAGATCTTCTTTGGTTGGTAATGGATATATATCGTACAGTGGATATTATACAGCAGTAAAAATAAATGAACTATCAAGCCATAAAGAGACATATATGAAGGAACCTGAAAGGCGAATTGCTAAGTAAATGAAGCCAGTGAGGAAATCTATATACATTATGATTCCAAATGTATGACACGCTGGAACAGGCAAAATTATGAAGACCATAAAAAGATCAGTTATTGCCAGAGGTGAGGGGAGAGGGAGGAGGAATAAATTGGTGGTGCACAGAGGTTTATAGTAAAATTATCTGCTACTGTAATGGTGAGCATATAGCTATTTGTCAAAATATACAGAACTCTACAACACAAATGGTGAACCCCAATGTAAACTGTGCTCTTTAGTTAATAATAATTAGTATTGCTTCATCATTTATAAAAAGTGCAATAGAAGATATTAGATCAAAGATGTTAATAGGGGAAAACTAAGGAAGAGTGATGGGGACTGGCAGGAAGTATTATATGAGAATTCGTCTTTCTTTGCTTCTCTTGTGTATGCCTAAAACTTATTCTGAAAAGTCTATTAATTAAAAAAAATTGATTCTTAATAAAGTGTTCATAAGTATTGGCTAAACAGAGTAAGCAAATAACCTTACTCAGTTTGATGGAATATAATAAAACAAACTGTTTTGAATGTGTATATTTCTGTTTTATTGTTAATGATTTAGTACTTCTCTAAATCTTAGAAGTACTTCCTAGAAATACTAAATAGTATAACATTAATCACTAATACCTTTTTTAGAATACTGGTAGTCATTCTTGTTCTTGTCTCTTATTTCTTTGCTTTTTGGTTTTTCCACTTAGGTGTACTTGCGCTATCTTGGTACCCACCTGATTCAAGTGATGAGAATGGAGAAGCTACTGATAACTTGGTACCAACTATTTTGGATAAGGCTCATAAATATAATCTAAAGGTATTAAATTTATTTTCAACCTATATGTCACTTAACTCTAGGAAAAGTGTATAGTAATAGCAATTTTCAAATAATCATTTAATTATGAGAAAATAATGACTTAAAATATATTTCATGAAGAAAATTACTCTAGTTTAATCTGTGAATTAAACTTTATACAAATTATATTTTAGAGAGCTCTTTTTGTAACCATCTGATATGTTTTTTTTTTGGTTTTTCTCCGGTACCGGCAACGGAACTCACGACCTTGCGCTTGCCAGGCAGGCGCTTTGCCGCTGAGCTAAATCCCCAGCCCTACCATCTGATATGTTAATTTATTATTTATTTTAGCAGAAAGTGTGTTGAAAGTTTCTTTCATAAAGATAATAAAGAAATTAATGAAAATTTATATCTAAGTAACTTAGATGTCAAAGGTCTACTTAAAAATATTACCCATGTGACTTTACATCTTTATATAGTAGTTAGAACCTAGACCACTGCTTATGCAATTTTCAAAATCTGATTTTCATTTAAATCTTCTGTATAATGTTTTCATATATTCTTGTGTGCATTTACAATATAGGAGAAATTCTGAAGAGAGGTATAGAGCAAATTTATGCTACTCAGTTATTAGAAAATATCACAAATGAGGAAAACTAAGGTGCAGTGTAAGATTTTATTTAGTTTTTTAGATAGTTCATGGAAACAAATAAGATTGATGATTAAACAGTTTCAAGTAGTATATCAAAGAAAAATTTTATATGGCTTGATGAGAAAGTAAGCATTGTTTAAAATTCCCTGGATACTTTTTAAAAAATTGGTTATGTGTAGGTAGTAACGTTATCCTGAATAAATTCATAAAATTATAGTCAGAGTTATATGATTTTCAATATTACTGAAAGCCATAAAAGCAAAACTATTTAAAAATGTAAAGCTGTTTAGAACTAACACATTATAACTAGAAATAACACTTTTTAAAGAAAAAACTTAAAAATGGTACAAAAGTAGTGTTGAGATTATTGTATTATCAATACCAATGAGACATAGATCATAAAGAACATGGAACTGATAAATATGAAGTATGAAACTAATTAAAACTGGGTTCAGTTGCACATGCCTATAATCCCATTTACTCAGGAGGCTGAGAGAGGAAGATTACAAATTCAAGATCAGCCTAGAAAAGATAGCAAGATCCAGTGTCAAAAAAACACTGTATATACACACATGTATAGACATGCATGTCTTCAAACTCTGTGGCCTGCATAAATCCATACTTTCTTCCATTTTTTGTAGAAAATAGTATGTAAGCCAGTGGTAAAACAGTATGAAAAATGGAAAAAACATATAATTAGAAGAGAGTTTAAATTTTATATTGATATATTTGAAATTTAAAAGAAATGGGTAGTTTTCTAGAAAAATACCTCAAAAAAGTTGCTTTTGTGCAGAAACAGGTTTAAATAATCTGAATTGACTAATTTTCCTAGGAAAAATTCGAAGGTATTTGAACACATTTCTTTCCCAAAGTACCAGATTTATGTATCAATCTGTTCAACTTCAATGAAACAGTTGATCCTTGTGATACTGAAATAATGATGTTGCAAAGTGTACTCAGTACCTATTCTTACCTAACATCACCCTAGAACTTCATAGCTTAGAATAACAAACATTTGTTATTGCATACAATTTCCAAAGGTCAAGGACCTGGAAGTGTCATAACCAGGTCAAGGACCTGGATGTGGGTGTGGTTTCAGGTCTCATTGAAGAGGTATCAGGTGGGCTGCAAGCTGGTGCTGCAATCATTTGAGACTATAAGATCTATTTTTTAAGGCTTTCTTGTGTAGTAAGCAGGTGATGGACAAGGAACTTACGTTCTTCACCATGTGAACCTGTCCAGAGGGCTGCCTGAGTCTCCTTAGGACTTCACCTAGCTTCCTCAGAGTAAGTTGAATGATCTGAGGAAAAGAGAATCCTTGATAGAATTTTCAGATTTTTTTCTTTTCACCTAATCTTGCAAGTAATATTATCACTTCTGCCCTGATCTGTTGATGTATCTCCTGGCAAACCAGCCCTAGCAAAATATGGGAGAGAAATGCATAAGTTGTGAAGACCAGGAGATGGGGATCAGTGTGGGATGTCTTGGAGATGCAGTAACAGGAAAGCCTTCTAATTAATTCTGTAATGACACCACCATTCTTATTCAGAGGTGAATAACAGCACAAGAAAGAGCCTTATCGAGCCATCTCACTGATGAGAACACATGCAGAATTCCTAAAGAAAATATAGATAAGAAGTGTTTATTAATAATGATCTAAGAACAGTTCCAAGAGTAACAAATCCAAATCTCTGAATCTGAATTGCCTGTATTCAAACATGGCTCCACCACTTTCTGGATTTATATGTAACTCTTATTATGCCTTAGTTCCTGTGCCTTTGCAGTGAAGATTACATAAGGTAATATATGTAAATAATTAAGATTAATGTCTGGCACGAAGTAAGCACCGTATAAGTGTTAAGTAAAGAAATCTTCGTTGACTGTTTATAGAAGCTTGATCATCTTAATGAGTACTATAAATTTGACCAAATAAGAACTACTAATAAAACACTTAAATCCTTGAACTTGATGCACTTTAACATGATAAAAAATATATTTTAATAGATTGAAATATACAACATACTCTTAGAAAAAACAGTCAATCTCTTGACCAACACGAGTAAAAGAATGCATCTGTCATCAGTATTATGTCATAATAGAGACTCAAAACAAGTTGACTAAAAAAATACATTAAAAAGTTTTATATAAAAAGATCATTCTTTGCAAATGACAAATACAAAACCCATGAAAATTTTCTAAAAGCTATTAGGAATAATGAGTTCAATATAGTGGCTAGAATAAAAAAAAATAATATAATTCAGGAGGATAACTAACAGATAAAAATCAGGAAAAGTAATGGAAAATAAAATCAGTAGGTACACAGAGAACTCCTTGGTGTTTTACTAGAGAAAATGAACTATACACACGAATACAGAAACATGAATTTGATGAGGATTCAGAGTTGCATGAGTGGCTATTCTCGCAAACATTTGTATTCCTTTTATTTAATATAATTTATAAATTCAATATAATCCCACTTAGAATTTTAGTGAGATTTTAAATACTAAATTTGGCAAACTAACACTGAAGCTTATAAATATATTGGCATACATTTTAAAAGATTAGTGATAAAGGGAAAGCCTGTTTTTCCAGATAGTGAAGTGTATAAAATGGCAAAATTAGCGTATGGCATTAACCTCTGTGGAGAAAGAAATCAGTGCAACATAATAGAATCGAGAAACAAGGCACTTCATATTAAAATCTAAAATGTCATTCAAGAATGATTTAAGATCAGGTATAAAAATGTAAAATGAGGTATATTCACGATCTTATCCTCTTGATAGTGTTTGTTTCATTTTATTTGTGCATTATCTGCTATTATTCCTTATGCATAAGCAATCAGACTTCAAGTTTGATCATGTTTTCGGTGTGCTCATGCATCTTCAAGTTTATTATTTTTCAGTGCAATTTGTTTGTAAGTCCTTAATGAAAATGTGAATTGTAGTGTCGTTTAACTCAAGACTATTTACTCTGAGTTCTCACATTAGTACTACTCTCATTTTCTATATAACTTCTTATAGATTATATATCCTAATGAAGGATAGTCTGGTTTTTGCAGTACTGGTAATTAAACTCTGTAAGAGAGAAATCTCTGTTGAAATACTCATTTCAAATAAAAATGAAAATTTAGCTTTTCTTTTCGTTCAAATGTTTGTTTTATTAGTATATGTTTGCAGTACATAATGACAAGTTTCATCATGGGGAGTTGATACATGTGTATAATACATCTACCTTTTTGCCTTTTAAATTCTGAGTAGTTATTGGGGAGTAGAAATGAATCTCTTAAGAAAGGTTAAAAAGCCAAGACTATTGTATTATTGCTTTTTGTATAGCTGACTCATTTCTGTTATAATCTTGAAACTCTTAATGCAGCATCTGTCAAATTAGCTGACTGGCAAGATCTGTCACTTGCCCTATCCCTCAGTGCCATTCAGTGAGTTTTCACTGACTTTTTTTTTTTTTTAATTTTTAATTTTTTCTTCTGGTATCGGGAACCGAACTCACGAACTTGCACTTGCCAGGCAGGCGCTGTGCTGCTGAGCTAAATCCCCAGCCCCTTCACTGACTTTTGAAATCTGCATATAACCACACCTCCTGGTCCCTGGCACCGGATCTGAGACTGAATAAAAGATCTGTTTATCTTCCACAAAGTAAATCCAATAGCCACTGTTCTGCTAAAGTTTTGCAGTAATTCCGAGAAATGGGAACTCAAAAAAAAATGCTATTTTAGTATATTGAAAGAATATGGTAAAGTGAAAATATCTGATTTTTTAGGCTAGTTAAAGCCTTTGTGTGTAAGGAGAGTGTGTAAGAAAATGAACTCAGCCTGAGTTCATTGTCTGTGGAAGTCATACTGATTGTCTGTGGAACTGCCACTTTGTCTGTGCTGACATCCTCAATTAGATTTTTATATCTAATGATTAGAAAAATGTGGTAGTTGATAATGTTTTCCACAATATTTAGAATAATTTCTTGGCCATATCTCTTCCAGAGAAAATATACCCATCATTAGTAAATAGTTTTACTGTAAGAAAATACCTGCAGCTAGGTAACTTTATGAAGAAATTGATTTGGGTCATAGTTGTAGAGGTTCAAGGGCATGGTTCTGGCTCTGCCTGACCCCAGTGAAGGTATTGTGGCTGATGGCATCTTGATGCTGGGAGCCTGAGTGAAAGAGAAATCAAGTTGACAGGAAGCCAGGCAGGACAGGAAGAGCCAGACTTGCTGCTTCTGACAACACTTGCATGAAAACTAACCATAGTTTCCCAAAACAAGTATCTCCTGTCTCTCTTCCTTCCAAGGACTGTACTCCCAGCAAGACTTAATGACCTCCCACTAGGTTGTACCTCTTCGGGTCTCACCGTCTCCCATATTGACACAGATTTTCAAGAAATCGCATCCAACCATAACCAAACCAGAACCAACACACTGTAGCTTGCCTCTACCTGGGTAGCTCTGGGATCTGACAGTATTTTTTTTTTTTTTTTAATCTTACTGGCATGTCCCTTTCATTTGTAAAATGACAAACCATAAGATAGTTTTATCTATTGAATCTTACTGTGCTTTCTGTTGTGTTATTGTTATGGAACAGCAAATTAAGAAAAAGAACAATTCTATATGGAATAATACATCTTATTTTTATGAATAATGGACAGTTTTCTTTTTGCTTGCTAATGTTAGAAAATATAGTGGTACCTCGTTTATGAACGTATTTTATGATTTGGGGGAAGATGGCTGCATTTGTGATTGTGTGGCGAAGAGGGCTGTGATCCTGTTTGTCACCCAGTGTGAAGTTTGGGAACAAAAGCAAAGCCTTACTGAATGCCTTTGTTTGCAAACCACATTGTTTTTAAATAGAAGTGTTGGTGAACCCTACAGTATTAATTTGTTTAATTAATGATATAATACCTTAATAGAATTGTTTAAACTGCTAAGACAATATGATGAGACAAGATTAATGATGTTGTGAATTCTGTGCTGATAAATGGTTACCTCCAATCACATAACTAACCATATATCTAAAACATTAATTATAAATGGGTTCATTAGTAACATCCCCTTTTTTCTTGGTAATCTTCAAAGCAAGGAAATAATCTCCCCCTTTCTCCCAATTTGATTAATATTTATTTTCTTACTTTCCCCCAAATAGTCCTATTAATTTAATAATTTTATTTTAAAGTTGATAGTTGTATCATAATTGGCAGTTGTACTATAGTGGTTTGTCATGTTTATTAGTAGGCTTCTTAAACTTTGCTTGGGTGTGTTTTATTGTTTCTATTTTGTAAGGTGAAAAAGGTTTTAGTTTCATTCTTTTTTGTTTAAAAATAGGAGTTTTTAAGTCATGAATTTGTCTCACAGTTAAGCTTTTGTTATAGCTCATTAGACTTGATTGTATAATGTCTTAAATAGCATTAGTCACTAAACACTTTGTAATTGTAATTTTGATATATGAACTTCAACCGAGAATTATTTTAGTGCTTTTTAAATTATGAACGGGTAAGAAAAGTAAAAATATTTGATGCTTTAGTTACTTGTTCTATATTGTGTTTAGCAACTGTACGCTAAGGGATTTTTGGAGAGTATAAGTGAAAAAAATTAAAATCAAAATATAAATCATGATTTCAGAGCTACTGGTCATGTGTGCTTTTTATATTTGTCTGCATATTGGCTGCAGCAAGGATTGTAGTCCTCATTGATGTCATGCACCAGGCTCATTTTTTTAGGAGTATAAAAACCAGAGCTGAATCTTTTCTGCTATGTCCTCTATCCTACACTGGTAAGACCACAGCAGTGAAACAAGTCCCTTGATTATGACATGATAGAGATATTTGATAGCTGCTTTTATTTTTTAGTAAGTATTCCTCTCCTCCCTTCTCTTCAAGGAAAGGAGGAATACACTTCGTGCTACGTTAATGTTGACATTTGCTTCATGGCCTGTTTTGACTAATGAAACTCAGGGCATACCATGCATCTGCATGATTGTGCTGCTGTTTTCTTACCTGAAAATAGGAGCTCCATTATGTCTAGGACTGAGGGTAACAGAAGTGAGGAACTGATTTGAACCTGATCCATACCCTAGAGCAGAGCCATTAAAGCAAATCCACAGATTTTATGTGCGTGAGAACAAGTGTTTGTGTTTAAAAGCTGTGGCAGCTGTGTGTTTGTTATGCAGCATCACCGCACCATACCTGATCAAATTAAATCAAACATCTAATAAAAGAAAATCAGTTTGAAGTATCTGTTCTTTCCTTTTCTTTAGGATTATAGAGGAAAACAAATCATTTGATGGTTATCACCTTCCATTTTAATAAATTTAGTATTTTATTTTAAAGTAGTCTTTTTCTTTTCTTTTTTTTTTTTTTTTTTTTTTTTTTTGAGACAGGGTTTCCCTGTGTCGTTCAAGCAGGCCTTGAACTCACTTTGTAGCCCAGGCTGGGCTACAAACTCACAGTGATCCTCCCACCTCAACCTCCCAAGTGCTGGGATTACAGGCGTGCACCACCATGACTGGCTAAATAGTTCTTTCTGTCATATGTGTAATTCATATGTCCCATAATGTTGCTTTATAAGCATCCAGTGTTTATTTGCATAAGATTCTAGTGCTATCGTTATATCTTCTTTTCAGCCTTACACAATTCTTTTACCGTATGAATCTTTATACAGTATGTCTGTGATTCTTTTTTAAATGATTTTCCTTGAAACATTGTCTATGACTTTTTTCTTATTTTTAAATGAATAATGTGAATTTGCAGTGAAACCGTGGTGAATGTTATCTAAATGGAGTATAAATGGCAGACCTAGAGTTTAACTATTGTCTGTTTTTGCCTAGAAATCATTCACCAATTCCTCATGCATGCATTCATTCATTCAGTACCTTCAGTGTGCCAGATACTATTCTAGATATGGTTTAGTATTAAGATGTTCCCCATATGGGTAACAGGGGAAGAAGATATTTTCTCTGGCCTTAAGGGACTTTGCAATCTATTGGAGGTCAGAGACAAGCACATATAAATTGCAAGAAAAGTAAAAAGTACGGTATTATGACACTACATAGGAGTAGAAAATGACTTACCATATTCTTGTAGCAGGAAAGGAAGAGTGTGCTGGGATAGAGATAGGGAATGGAGATATTGGAGTAGAGAAACAGGGACAGGTTTTTGCTTTAGAGAGTTCACTTTGGCTGCAGAGTAGACAAGAGATTACCTCACCATTCTGACAAATTCCAGCCCAAGATTGCGTGGTAGCTCTGTTGCCTTGGGCCTTGCCAAGGGCAGCACATCATGACAAAAACTAGTAGAATAAACTGCAGCACAACCCAGTAAACAGAGAGATTGGAAGCTTGGAATCCATAATGCCCTGTGAAGACAGCCTCCCAGTGACAAAAGGACCTTGCACTAACCCTTAACCCTGAAGGTTCATGTCATCTCTCAGTAGTGTCACCATGCAGACCGTACAGACCAACACATGGGCTTTGGACAGGAACTCGTCCAAATCATAGCAATAACATTGAGGAATATGAAAACGCCTGTGGAATTGCCAGTTTTCTTTGAATTGAACTTAAGAAGCAAATGGCAAAGTTACTGAAAGATCTGACTAATAGTACTAACAACATACAGTTTTCCCTCCATAACTATGGGTTCTGCATGTGTTGATTCAACTGTGGATGGAAAACAACCAGGAGAAAAAACTGTGTCTCTACAGAACATACGAAGCCTTTCTTCATTTTATTATTACCTAAATAATATAGCATAGTAACTCTGGACATAGTATTTGCATTGTATTTGGTATTATAAGTAATCTAGAAATCATTTAAAGTATACAAGAAGATAAATGTGGCTTTTATGCAAGTGCTGCGTCATTTATGTAAGGGACATGAGCATCTGCAGATCTTGGTGTTCATGGAGATCCTATGGAAACTACCACCTCTCCTTTGGATACTGAGGAATCATTATGTTCTGCAAAATTGAATTGGATGTTAGTTTTTCACTGGCTAGACTTTTTCCAGTGTTACTGTGCTCTCATTTGACCAAAAAAAGAGTTCTTACTAGATACTCTGACTTTAAAATTAATTATGTGAAAACTAGTAGCATTGAGTAACGCAAAATACATTCTGATTTAATTAGATAATTTAGTTTTTTACTGCAATAAGATGGAAGTCTCTAGTTCCATAAGTCCTTCATAGGTCCTGATACCTAAAATTAAAACAGTATAAATACATTTATTTGATACACAGATTTTAAGTTACTGTTGGTTAGTGAGCAAAATTAGGAATGAAAGTGAAAATTCTCATATTCTTTGTTTTAAAAATCATAAATACATTGTCACTTAAAGATATTATCTGTACCATCTGCATTACTAGCTAGAAGAGGTATGCAAAGTGGTTTTATTCCCCATAGTTATTCTTGATTTATATGTAACAGCTTTTTTTAGGTAAAAATTAAGTCTGTACACAGTATTTAGAAAATAGTTTTAGTTACTGTTTTCTACTATTATGATGAGACATGCAAACCATATTATAATTTAAGAATTGGGGCCTGGTGGCACACGGCTGTAATCCCAGCACTTGGGAGGCTGAGGCAGAAAATCATCGTTGCAAGTTCAAAGCCAGCCTGGGCTACATAGTAAGTTCAAGGCCAACCTGAATTACATAGCAGGACTCTGTCTCAAAAAAAAAAAAAAAAAAAAATGAAATTAGGAAAATGGTTCTGTATAGCACTACTATATATTTGTCAAGAGTTTGTTATAAATGGTTTGAATGTTAATACAGGTTAAACATAGATTTTTAGTAAAGTACTATAAAATAATTATTTAAATATGTTATTCGTTCCATTGAAGTGTAAATTGCACGGTCACACACTTGAAAGTATCTACTCATATTTTTCTTTTTACCTCAGAGGTAAATTTGTTCCCTCATTGATTATTTTTTTTCTTTCTTTGTTTTAGGTCACTTTTCACATAGAACCCTACAGCAATCGAGATGATCAAAACATGTACAAAAATGTCAAATATATTATAGACAGGTGAGTTTCTTCTATATTTGTAATTGCTGTTGGTGACCCAGTGATAATTGTCATTATATAGAATGCATGTGATATAGCAGAGTATATTTAAGTAAAATTTGAGAAATTTGAATGGATTATGATCTGACCTTTTTTTCCCTACCTGATTTGACATTTTTAATAAATTTAAACTGTTTTTGAAATGAATCTCATAATTACTTTGAGGACTATTTCTGAAATTCTGTATAGTTCACTTTCTGCATGAATAAAGGTTGGTGTTTCTACTATTTCACAAGTTTATAAGGCTATTTATGATTTCAGTCATATTGATACTTTATTTCTAAAATACTAGGAAAATAATTGTGTATTTCTAAAAAGATTCAGATTATGAAATATGAACAGCTTTTATAGCACTGATACCTATTTCATTTATATCCAATATGATTAAAAGAAAGAATTAATACGTTTTCATTTTGTTAAAGGAATTCACTGATAATCTCTGACAGACATCAGACTTGTCAGCAATAAAGGGACATTTAGTGTACAGAAAAAGTTTATGGATTCATGTATTCATGGGCTTTTATGGCATTAATCAACACTTTATAGACTTGAGCATGAGATAATTAATTTCTTATTTGGTAATTATTTAGTAACTCATTTTGTAATGTATAAAATTAAAATATTTTTAATTATTATATGACTAACTTCCTGAAGAAGGGGAACAGTGTGGTTAAACTGTACTGATTACTTTGCTTTTCAGCATGTAAACAGTTTTTGTGTAAGTTGTGAATATCAAGTAGTGAATATCCATTTCACCTTTACATGTGTTTATATTCTAGATACGGAAATCATCCAGCCTTTTACAGGTACAAGACGAGAACTGGGAAATCTCTTCCTATGTTTTATGTGTATGATTCCTATATCACAAAGCCTGAAAAGTGGGCCAATCTGTTAACCACTTCAGGGTCTCACAGTGTCCGCAATTCCCCTTATGATGGATTATTTATTGCACTTCTAGTAGAAGAAAAACATAAAAATGATATTCTTCAAAGTGGTTTTGATGGTATTTACACATATTTTGCCACAAATGGCTTTACTTATGGTTCCTCGCATCAGAACTGGGCTAAACTAAAATTCTTTTGTGATAAATACAACTTAATGTTTATCCCAAGTGTGGGTCCAGGATACATAGATACCAGCATCCGGCCTTGGAACACTCAAAATACACGGAACCGAACCAATGGAAAGTACTACGAAGTCGGTCTAGATGCTGCACTTCAGACCCACCCGAGTTTAATTTCTATCACCTCCTTTAATGAGTGGCATGAAGGAACCCAGATTGAGAAAGCTGTTCCCAAAAGAACCAGTAATACAGTGTACTTAGATTATCGGCCTCACAAACCGAGCCTTTATCTAGAACTGACTCGCAAGTGGTCTGAAAAATACAGTAAGGAAAGAACCACTTATGCATTAAATGAGCAGATGCCTGTTTCTTAAGGCATTTATTAGAGGTAATTATCAAAAATCACCTAATTTCAAGAAATGCATTCCTTTTGTTTTGAGTTATGGAACAATACTGTCAATGTCTACTATTACTGTTATCTTTATTAAAGTTTCTTTTTACTTTTTTAAAGACAGTAAATACTGCACTGAGAAAGTATTGTAGATAATGACTAAAATTGAAAATCTGCTAAAATGGAAATTTAATTTTCATATTACAGTAGGTGAACTCTTTTGTTACATAAACTAGCTATCACGTGGCTAATTCCTGTTTGTATCCTGAGCCCAAAGATGTAGGACTGTATGTATATATATTGTACATTTAACAAAGAAAATTAATACCTAGAAAAGATATTGTACAGATTGTTTCTAATTTTTTTCAGTGTTCAGTTTCCTTTAGTGTATCACTAAAGACTTTAGATAACTTCCCCATAGTGATAACAGTTGTCAAAATATAATCGCTTCTCAGATTTGCTGTGAATCTAAAACCACTTTAAATAATAGTCTACTATTCGTTTTAAGTTACATACCTTAAACCTTACTGTGAATCATGTTGCGTCAGGAAGACTTGGTTTTTGCAGCATAGTCTGTACCATCGTTTGAAGATTTTTCCTAAACCATTACATCCTAAGTGTTTGGCATGCTTCTGCTTTACTATGCTGTATAGTATTTCAGACTTTAGAAACTATGACAAGCACTTTTATAGAAGTTAATGATTGTATCTCAATTATTAGGAAAATGTTTCACAATTGTTATGCATAAATGATGCCACAAATACTATTATTTTCAGAATACCACGTCAATCTCTTACTATTCTATTATTTAGTCTTAAAATTTAATATTCCTCAGACATTAGCTGAGAAAGAAGAATATTCATTCTATCATTGAGTTGTCGTTTAACATTTTGTTTTTTATCAAAAATAGCAAAGAACATGTACTTACCATTTCAGATATTACAGACATGGAAACAAAAGCTTGTTATATATTTAAAATAATTCCTGAGAGGACAGTAGTTTAAATTCTTGTACATAATGATATATATCCCCATTTATATAGTGATATCCCCATTTAAAAATGTAATACAGTTTAGATATCTATCAGTTTAAAATAGTTGTGATCAATAACTATCACATTGTGGCAAATGGATCATTTATATGCTAAAAGTCTTTCATAACAGGGCCATAATTCACATCTCTCTGCTGGGTGGTTTGAACCACCAATGGTAAATACACGACTATCCCATGTATAACTGTGCACCACGAGTGGTACAAACCAGTGGGACAGTCATTGGGTGTCACCGGTGGTTCAAGCTGGTGAGAAGGTGTCAAAACTAAGAATAATAATAAAAAGGCACTCTATTGTTTTAATTGTTTGTAACTATACACTAAAAAGCATCTAAGACATCATTTTATATAAATATTATCTCAGATATTTGATTCTATTAAGAGAAGTAGTAGGGTAATATGAACAAGCAGTTATATAAATCTTTTGAGTATAGACATTCAGGAACAAATTAGCACTGAGATTTATCATAAAATAGCCTACCAGGTGATAAAATGAATTTTTAAACACGGATTTTGAAGTAAAACATTATGTTTTTAAAACGAAGCATGCCTAACATTAAACTGCTTTATAACTTAAGAATTTTCTATTTCTTAGAGAATGATCAGGCCATTGAAGATTACTACAGTGCTAGTAATCTGATTATTTTCTGGAGAAAGTTATAAGGCTAAATCAGTGTGATGATATTTTGATATAACTAAGCATCTTCATAGGAACAAAAATACAGTTGTAGCCTGTGGATTTTTTTATATACAGTTAGCCACTATATGTTATTTTAAATTGTTATAAACGTGTACCTAGTAATATTTTATAACATACATATTTTATTACATTTTGTTGGAGAAATAAATGTCAACTGTATAGATTTTCTTCATTGTGTATGTTTTATATTTGAATCCACCATGACAGAAAATGAGTTTCATGAAATAGTTCTGAGATTAAGGGAAGGTGTGTAAAAAGAGGAAGTTCTCCGAAGGAATATCACTTCTTTCTTGTTCCCGCTGTGGACATAGATAATGCACCACATCATGCCTCACCTCTGTTCCGTCCCGATTCCCCAAGCCTTTGCCCTAACCAGTCAGCAGCAGTCACATTTCAAAGTAGGATGACACAGATTCTGTATTCATTGTAAAGTTATTCACAAACCAGAAATGATTGGCATAGCTTCTCATAATGACTTAATAGTTCATAATTATCTATAATTTTTTCCTTTTTGAAAAAATGAGTAACCCGTTTATATCCATGGTCTGCATATTCAACCAGTTGCCAATTGCAAATATTCAGGGCAAAAGAAGCACATTGTAGTAGAAGCTGTTTTTCTTGTTATTATCCCTTAAACAGTACAGTACAGTACAGTGCAGCAGCTACTGATGTAGTATTTACATTGTACTAGGTATTATACATAATTCAGAGTTGATCTTAATATATACAGGAGGATGTGCAAAGGTTATATGCAAACGTTATGTCATTTTATATAAGGAATTTGAGCATTTGCAGACCTTGTTATCCACCTACTGCAGGAACCGATCTCCCACCAATACCAAAGGACTGCTGTGTTAGGAAACTTTTTCTAATAATTTTGTTCTTAAGGAAGACAGCTTTCAGAGTCTTTCTCAGGTATTCAAAACAATTGCCTTTACCTTTGACTTCTAACAGTTTAGATAATATTGGTCACAAATAAAGAACAAACAATTGATTTCTCACTTTAAAAGTCTAAATGTGTGAGTTCAGTAAACTGTTAAAAGACAAAGTGGTATATAACATGCAACACAAGAATTGTAATGAATTTTTTGTAAGTTATTCATTTTTATTGTTTAATCATTATTAAAAATGACTCCTTTGTTAGTTACATGGAGTAATTTTCATCTAACAAAAGCCTACATAAAGTATTGTATCTTAGATATTAAAATCTCTTTATGAAACGTTTTAATTTCTTGTTAATAGATGAAAAGCAGCATTTAGTCAGCATTCTTTATGTATTTTCTGTAGTGAAATTTGCAGCTTTTACACAGTACTTATCTTTATAATTGTATACATTTTAATTTGGTGAAGTTTTGTTATGTATACAGTAGACATACATTCCAAGTTTAGTTTTTTTGTAATTTGGGTGATGTTTCCCCCTTTTCTCTGCTCTAAGTGTATACATCTGTTAGCTCTGACATCTAAAAACTAATCTCTAAATACAACAGAGTCACAAGCCACCAAGACCCTACCAAGTTCATAATTACTCACTTTTTAAAACTGATCATAATTATTCAGTTTAACATGACTCCTCCTAAACTATGATACCTATAAAAACAGTCCTTAAAAATATGGGTCAAAATTTTGTAGCCATTGTAAATCAGATTGCTTTCTTGATTAGAAATTCTAATTTTTGTACATTAATATACCTTAGAACTTTGCTGAATTCATTTATTCTAATAGTTTTTTGGTGGGCCGGGTGGAGTTTTCTATATATGAGACCAGTCATTGCAAGCAGTGACATTTGACTTCCTCCTTTCCAGTCTGGATGCCCATCATTTCTTTCTCTTGCCTGATTGCTCTGGCTGGGGCTTCCTGTACAATGTTGAATAAAAGTAAGGAGATTTTGAATTACAATCAAACTTTCTCACTTCCTATAGAAAAACAGTATTTAATGAGAGCAAAATTTGTTATTAATACAAATATTTACTGTTTCAAAATGAAAAATTGACTTGGCTAAAGCAAAATATTTTTTATTGTTCAAAGCAAGTTTTTAAAATGTCCTACAAAGTAAATGTAATGTTACTTTGTTACATAACCACTTAGACTAAACGTTTTTATAAGCTTAGGGTGATGTTTTTACCCTTAGGAATTCAGGTTTCCTTTGGTTTAATTACTTTACAGGGACTCCTTCCCCCTTCGTCAAGTCAGGAATGAGTGCCAATTCTATTCTCCTCAGCTGTCACTGAAAGGAGGAGAATTTTTCAGCATGATTGGTGTTTTTGTTGTGTAGTCACTATTTAATCTGTGGTATCAAAAGATAAAGTTAAGGTTAATAAACAGATAACCATAGATCTGAATTTTCCTAAACTAAAAAAGTGGCACATTTATAATGGATGTTCTCGATTTTATTTAAATCTCATATGTTTTAAATTTTAAGTTTCACATATCACATACAATTAACTATAAATTTAACCACAAAGTTTTTAAAATGTTAGAAATTACCCCAGTGAAATAAATATTCTACACCAGAAAACTGTTCCACCATAATACTGCATACAATTGTGGTATTCAGTGGTACATGCAACTAATGGTATATTATGCTTTTGTGGGGCATGGATTGTGTGTGAGTGTGTGTGTGTGTGTGTGTGTGTGTGTGTGTGTTGGTTTTGAAAAGAGTAAAAATCTGAGCAAAATCATTGTAAACAAGACAAAATGGGCATTATCAGCTATTGACTAATACTTGTTTTTCACATAACTATGCTTAGAAGTAATTTTGAATCAATGTTACCAAAAATCATTATCAAAGCACTGTATTACCATGTTAATTTGATATCAAGTCTTTCTGCTAACTTAAAAATACCATGTGCAATCAGATATGATGGTTCATGGCTGTGTTCCCAGCTACTTGGGAGGCTGAGGCAGGAACATTGCAGGTTTTAGGCCAGCTTGGGCAGTTTTGGAATATCCTGCCTCAAAGTAAAATAAAATGAGCTAAGAATACAGTTAGTAGTAGAGTACACGACTAGAAAGTGTGAGACCCTGGATTCAATTCGCAGTACTTGAGGGGGAAATGCCAAATGCAAAAAAGAAATCCATACAGAAAAAACCAGTAAAGTGACTTTGGAATAAACTTAGGGTTGAAGAGTAGTACATTTTTCACTTTTATATTTAAATTATTACTTAGAAGAGTAGGGTGCCACAACTTGTTAAAGACAGTATATTAGGGTGAATCATTCTTTTAAAATTCTGTCTCCCTTAGAAATTAGAAAACAAATTAAAAGAAATACTTGCAAATGCTGAAAAATGAAGAGAGTGTCAAATGTGTTTTTCTCATTTAAACCTAATGAAATTGTATGGGTTAGTTGTAATTAAATTTATTCTCTGGATTGAAAGGGTTATCTAACAGTAGAAAGGTGATTATGCTAACAGGGTAAAGGTAAAACTTCATGGGAAAGGGTTAAAATTCATTATTCCTACATATTTACTGTTGATAAATTAGAAACAAAAAAGATTGCTTTAAATTGAAAAACCATATCTATGCGAAATCCTACAGGAAACACAATGGTAAAACTTGAAATTTTTAGCCCCTCCAAATTCAAAGACCCAATCCAAAAATGGGCAGTGGAGATGAATACACACTTCTCAGACAAGGAGATACAAATGGCAGATAAATATATGAGAAAATGTTCAACATCATTAGTCATTCGAGAAATGCAAATTAAAACAACACTGAGATTCCACCTTACCCCAGTAAGAATGGCTAGCATCAAGAAATCAACCAATAACAAGTGCTGGCGAGGTTGTGGAGAAGTAGGAACCCTTCTCCACTGCTGGTGGGAGTGTAGACTGGTGAAACCATTGTGGAAATCAGTTTGGAGATTCCTCTGAAAACTAGGTCTAGAGGTCCCATTCAACCCAGCTA